AATTAGGTTTTACTTGTCTTTATGTTGCTCTTTTTAAAACGACAATCGCACCGTTGATTTCTTATTTCGGCTACCCTTATTTCAATTGGGTCTGACAAATTACTTATCGTCAACCAGGACAATAAAGATTGGAATGTTTATACTTATAAATTAATTTTTTTATGTCTGATTAAGCAAAAAGCCGACTTAATCCCAAAATATATTCACTCATTTAATCAGAAATTACTTTAAAAACAAAACGAAATAAATTAAAGCCTGCAGAGATTAAAATTTTAGAGACAAAATCTGACACTTCTTATATTTTACCAAAACCAACCTGGCATATTAAAATATAAATTCGTAATAAGTCGGGGGGGGGGAGAGAAAGATACAAAGAAATGGGGGTGGGGATCACTTTAGTGTGTGTTTATACAGGTGTGTGTTTAGGCAGGGAAATGGGGAAGGGGGATACTAGCACGTCATCCTAAAGAGTTTCATAAGATATACATTGTTTGTTCACAAAGAAATACCTATATCAATATCCCGAACGTTCTGGTGTAGAGTAAATAAATAGAGTTTATAGAGGAACTAGACATGCTTAGGCTTGAAAATAAAAGACAAGACAGTTCAAACTGAACGGACGTTTCGGCTAGATGCCTTCTTCAGCAGAAAATATAATACAATAAAATTATTATATATGTTAGAAGATAATAAAGTCTATACAGCTCAATCAAAGTTAAGAACAGAAAGGGCTCTAACATTATAAAATGAGTAAAACAGAGTATGGTTAAACCTGAAAAATTAAACGCAACAAAACAGCGAACGTGTCGGCAGAAAGCCTTCGTCAGCGAACAAAACAACAGAAAAAACGTTATAAAAATTAGAAATAGCACTTAGCTGGTAAGTAGTATCTGTGAGCAGCAATGCTGCTCACAGATACTACTTACCAGCTAAGTGCTATTTCTAATTTTTATAACGTTTTTTCTGTTGTTTTGTTCGCTGACGAAGGCTTTCTGCCGACACGTTCGCTGTTTTGTTGCGTTTAATTTTTCAGGTTTAACCATACTCTGTTTTACTCATTTTATTTTGTACTAACCTGATTGCAGTCTCTCCCCTTATTACCCCTCTAACATTAGCTTACCAGATTTTCTTGATGCCAAGTACGGATACAAAGGCTCACAGAAACCGGAAACATACCGGGGGTCGGGGGTGTTGTTCTTGATTTCTTTTTAGACACCATTCCCCCAAACTCGTTCATTCCCCCCACCTCCATAAAAAACACCAAAGAAATCAAATTATTTAATAGATAATTGTGACGTCACAGGAATAAAAAAAATGTGTCGCGGGCTTATACCGCCGACAGTTTGGCCAGCCCAGTGGTCACCAAAATATGCGTCGTGTCGCTCTGGGCGCTATGTTGCCCTCGGGCAGATCCATGAGAATGGGGTAAAAAGGGCAGTCACAACGGGCGCCAAAAATCTTCTTTAGATAGGATCTTAATTGTGAATTAAAATATAAATCCTATATTCTCCAGAAAGAAGAAGGGGGCCAAAAATCGTCTTTTTTTTTTTTTTTTTTTCTGACCCTTCGGGGGGGGGGGGGGGCACTTTTTATACATGTTAAGTGCCACCATTTTCCGTCTTCGCCCCAGGTGCATCATTTTCTCCTCAGCGTACTGGCAGCGAACAGACAAGAGTAAAAACAGAATAAAATAAAAATAGCACTTAACTGAAAAGAAGTATCCGAGAGGGCGGCAAAAGAATGGTGAAAATCTAAATTTGTCATAAGCTCCGGGAATCTAAACATTATAGGAACCACTGATCTAGCACATTGAAGATACGGTGGACGAAATATTACTGTAATACTGCTACTACTGAGTAGGCCTACTACTGAAGCGATATCTAGCTAGTTCATTTGTAAAAAGAAGTGGCAACTTTATGACGGTAATTCCTACACAATATTGCGTGATATTTTTACAGCATTGGAGATATAAAAATGAAATGACTGTTAGATGGTGCTGAAACTAATCACTACGCTGGCCCTTGCGGAGATATACGATAAGACAAATGGAAATAAGACAGCTAAGTCTTCGCTGCCAAAAGTACTGACAAGCCGGACGACGAGAGGAAATAATGGCAAATACGGACGCAAAAATTAGTACGGACAGGGGGGGGGGGCAAAAATACAAACTGTCCGTACTAAATAAGGACGTCTGGTAACCCTATTTGACAACCCAATTTCTGATGTGATATAGGTCAACACACGGACATAAAAGAGCAGGGGGTCGTCAACCTTTTAGCAATATTGTGCTAGACTAGTAGGCCTATTTCCTATTAAATCAGCTTGCTAACAAACAGTGGTGTATAAATTAAGGGGAAGGGGGGGGGGGAGGGGTTAATGAGGGATGGTATTTGTGGCTTTCTGCAGATCTTTTTTTTTTTTTTTTAGTGGATAGGTGGCGAAAAAATTCCTGGCACGAACCCAGCTACGCAGCTACTAAAAATTGATATGTTTTAGCTACTAAAAATTGATATGTTTTAAGTATAGTCTACCTTATCAGCAACGTTGCCAACCCAGTAACATAAAATGGGCCAGACAAATAGTTCAATCTTTACAATTTTGACGGACGTTTTTTACGGACTCATTTTTATGCACACAAAATTCTTCTTTAATATAACATACTCTGTTATAAAGATTGATATTTGTCCGTGATTCACTAAATTGATAGTTTTTCTTTATAGATGTTCAAGTCAAGGATGAGTTGATTGCATTTTCCCCCATTCAGAATGGGGAACGTCCTTAATTCACATTGTTTAAATTTTATTTAAACATACAAGGTGGTCCAAAAAATTTCGTCGCATGGGGTTATTTAATATACTTTTAATTAACATAATGTTTTGTCATTGACAGCTGTATGCCAAACATTACGCTAATCAGAAAACGTTTTAAACGTGCCCCTTGCTTTTCAATGACTTTTTCTATGCTTCTGTTAACAAAATTAAAAAAAAAAAAAAAACACTGTTACCACTCATTTGGGGCCACACTGAATATGATATTCCTTCATTTTAACTTGCGCTAAAACTCATTGCGCTAAGTCAGTCGTCGGCAAACGCATTAGTCTAAAGAGCCTACAGTCAGCAGCAGGACGATTAAAAAAAATCTGAGAGCCAAATTGATTTTCAAGAACCATGTTTTTCGGAGTAAAAACCGATTTCTGGCCAAAAAGCCAAGCCGCACTCAGGTCGCTTAAGAGCTGCATGTGGCTCGTGAGCTATGATTTGTCGACCACTGTGTTTAGGTCATTGTGATGTTTTGTTTTTTGGTTATATATAATTTAGCCATTTTCACCTGAATTCAAAAAGATATGTCACTGAATTCATATTTCCATAATTTTATGAAATCTTATAAATTAGTTTTGAAATTTCTAGAAACCAAATGTAGCGTCTTATATATTTTATCACTTTTATTTAGCTTGCGATTTTGTCTGTTTATTTGTCTGGGTCAAATATTGCAACTCTTCATGATCAGCAGGTCACTAGTGACCTCCATGGTTCCTTGAGCGACCTTTACCCAACATTTTTTGTTTAGTCATGAGTCATATGACTGTAACAACTCTGAAGTTTAGGTGCACTTTATATTTCTTTTGTGGAAAAGAGGATTAAAAAAAATGTTTATATTGTTTTTTTATTATTTAATTTTTGTATTGAGCAAGGTTGTCAACAGTTTTAAAAAAAAAAGTATAATTAAATATTTTATCAAGTTAATTTAATATATTACTTTCCATAATCCTCAAAAAGAATATTTCCGTGCCTGCTGTCACAGGAGCTGAGAACCCCTGGATGAGGATGAATGATCATGAAGGGATAGAAAAATGCACAGGGGAGTCAGCTTTGGTCTACTAGAAATGTGGAAGTCTCTATTGAGAGTTCCAAGTGTGGATGGACACAAAAAGAAGCCCTTTGGAGTGCGCTCTTTTGAATCTATAGCGCCTAACAGTTTGTAACAGTTTGTTTCAGTCTTTGAGTGAAATTACAATGATAAAAAAATCATATAAGACTTTTAAAGACATTTTTAAAAAAATATATTTTATGACATCAGAGCGGTTTGAGCATGCTAATATAGCATGGCCACAAGCACTATATAAGTAATCAATCATTTTCATTTTTGGATCAATTTGTGCACTGTTTGAAGAAGATTTGGGGGGTTCCATAAGAATTAAAATTTACGTATCTCAGCGTTCCTCTATATATTTTTAGAAAGAGTGGATATGTGGTGGGAGCAGAAGAAATTTTTGATATGTTATTTCTTAACAAAACTAAAATGCATACATTATACATAATACCCATACAAAATTAGTAACATTAAGTGCATGACAACACTTTGCCTCCTGCCTTCCAACCCCCAGTGCCTGATACCCTCGTTGAATAGCTCTTGCAACCAGTGAAATATCCTCTTCAAAACCAGACACAGAAACATTGCAAACCCCCTCTACATAAATACGAGTCAGAATGATCAATACATTGATCGTTGGCCCTCAAGATATAGAAGAAGGGGTTCGAAAATGCTGCCCAAAACAGAGTGCCGTCCTGGGTAGACTGCCTTCTCTTAACCCTCTTCCTAAGTCAATGGGTCTGAGTTTGAGGGGGGGGGGGGGTTATATTGTCTTTGTGTTGATAATTATCAGCTGCCAAGAGTTTGGACAGGCACATTGTGCAAACAATACACAAATAAGTGCCATTTTGTTTCACTCTGACATCATGGCTTTCCATAAAAAATTCTGTCAGTTTCAATTTAAAATATAAACAGGAAAACATCAAAGACATTTTTAGTCTTTGCTATTAGCCAAATCCAACTTTTGGAGAAGACATTGGATATTATCTTAAGAATATTTAGTCAGGTTTTGCATTCATTACAAAATGAATAACTGGTTTTTATCTTTTGCTGTTTTACAGTTAACAGATTAATTTAATATTTTAAATGCCTTTTGTAATATAATAGTTTTTTTCCCCTTATGGAAAGATTTACTTTGGAAATTAAAACAAGTGATTGCTATTTGCTATTTCTATTTTGTTGAGAATAAATACCATTTTAAATTTTAAAATTTTTTTTAATTACATATTTTAAAAAAAAGCAATTTTAAATACACATTTTTTTTTTTAATTGACATTCATGAAAATACACAAGGCAAATAATTTTCAATATGTACATAAAATATTTCCCAGCATACCAGTTCTCTCACACACGTTCTTCTCAATCCCAGTCACTCTTTAAGAAATCGACTAAGACTTTTTGTTCACAACTTTTTTGGTTTGCTGTTGTCTCCTTGCATCTAAATAACGCTTAAAAGAATCTTCTTCTGGGTCCTTTTCTTCATCTGAAAATAACAAAAAAAACTTATCAATTTGGAATTTCTTAATCACAAAAAGTTCACAATCATACAGTGAAAATGCAAATTCATGAGTTTCAAGACCACCTACTAAATCTCTACCATTTTCCATCAAATTCAAACCATCCAGAAATCCTCAAGATCAATCTTGTTTATACTGTAGGCAAGCAAGGCTGTGTTAACTATAGAGCTTCATACTAATTAGTTTCAAAAATCTTCATGACACAGCTGAGTATATACTGAAAACATATTGTAAGTACAAGTTTCATTTTTTGTGGGCTGCATGCAACACACTGAGTACTTCTCAGAATAAAGACAGACAGTTGGAAATTGATTTATTTGATTTACCTGCATATTGAGGCTGGACAAACTCATCTTCACTATCATCGTCTCCCAGAGGCTGGATTGAAATTCTATTTGAAACTGAACCCAGAAGCTCTGAAATGCATGAAAGAATCACAGTGAAAAGATAAAATAGTATCCAGAAAGGCTTTGTATAAAACATTCACATTGACGTACTTAATTGTCGTCACTGGGCCACATTAATTTTTTTTAATAGAACTACATTAGATGCGCTGAGTTCCAGGAAAGAGACCAACATGCTGAACTCATGTCATTAGTATCAATAATAAAAGTAATAATCCCATACCATTCTATGCAAGACTAGCATAACAAAGACAATACTTCTTTATGAGTGAAGATAATTTCCCAATTACAGTTTTTTAATGTATTATGCTGAGTCATTTTCTTTGGGCATACACAATAAATAATCCTCTCCCTTTAAACTTTCCATCCTATGTTTGGTAAAAATATTCTGGCAAAATAGTTTTTACATAAGTTACCAAAGCTCCCATTATAATGAATTCTTGTGGCGTAAATTTAAAAAAAAACAATATAAATCAATTAATGATCATAATTTCAAAATTTCTTTAAAAAATTAGCACTAACTCAATCTAAATGCCAGCTTTAAATTTCCAAATACAAGATAACACACCATTTGATGCCAGCTGTCTCTCATCTGCAGATAAGTCTTTTTTAAAAGCCTCCCTGTTTTTCTGCTTTTCTGTCTCTGTCTTCAGGGCCTTCGCTGACCTCAGCTTTTCATACATTGGTCTGTATTCCCTGAAAGAAAAAAATTCCTATCATGAAGATTACTTTAGGTGATGGGCTATATAATACCTTATTGACACTGGACATTATGAATCTTACTTTGTTGTAATGTTCTGTCATACATCACTGAAGTGTATGTTCCATACATTTACAAGATGAATATTAAATGCTAAATTTTTATAACCACCATATCTCTCTTTCCCTCTGTTAAGAATCTATCTCAAAGTTCTTTAACATGATTAAATATTGAGCACTGAAAGACTATTTATTAAGCTTGCCATATTGGTTGCTTCACTTCACCAGTAGGCCAGGTCCTCTAGATCTAAGTTATTTTTTGCAAATTAGGGAACTTCTAGTCTTTGTCGAGCCAGTGAGCCTGTTTATAAATATTTCAGTTGAGGGAGGGATGGAGTGAGATAAACATTTTAAAAATGTAAGGGCCTAGTCAAAGTTTCAAAATTCTAATAGTTGCCTTTTAACCTCATCAAGTTCCTAGCCTAAATGGTTATTATAAATTTATAAATTAAAGGACTGCATTCAAGCCTAGCAAATGAATGAAATAGCAAAACGTGCTCTCTGCTTTGTGATATGGTCATTTCTATTGTTAGCTGAAGAAGGCTTTATGCTGAAATGTCCGTATCTTTTTGTCCTGTTCTATAATTCAAGCTTCCACATACCTCGTTTTATTATTATAAATGTAACAGTGCTGTGATAAACAAATACTAAGAATGTCTACTGGTTAGTAGAATATAGGTTTTACTTCACCAAAAACAACATAATTTCCATTCAAGTACTCACTGTTCATATTCTACAGCTGCTTCATCTATTTTCACAAAAAACTCATCAAGGCCTTCACCTGTGGCTGCTGAAACTCCAACATTCTAGAGATTGATTTTGAAAAAAAACAACTAGTAAGAAATTAATATAGAATATAAAATATTAATAGCCTCAATTCAATTCACGCTGATTGGATTTATTATTTTGGTTACAAAAGCCTTTTAACTTTTTCTATCTGTCCTGTATGCTACCTTTATGGTCATGTAAAACTCATCAAGCACCAAGCTCATAGACCGTGTCAGGTTGGAAACATATGACTTTTCATGGTCAAGGGCATCTTGAAAAACCTCAAAGTCAGTCATCCACTCCTGGGCAAAGTGGTGGCTAATGATATCAATCTGTCAAGGTCAAGGTGTTTTATGATTGATCAATTTAAAAAATAATTCTACTAAAATATTTTGCAACAAGCGCTACAAACATAACATTTGATGTGTTGATATACTTTAATTATAAAAGCATAGAAAATATACAGGTTTTAAATTATAAGTTGCAACATGAACAATTAAAACAAGATTCAACGGCTGTTAAGTTTGTGAAGGCTGAAAGCATACAGAAGAAGAGGGAGACTGTTTTAGTCATGATTTCTTTAATTTAAAAGCTTAACTCTTTAAAAAAAATTGAAAATAGTTTGGAGTCCTTTATAAATAAAATTAAAGGCGCATGATTTACTTCAACTGCTCTAAGTACAATTGATCACCTGGGAGGGAAAGATGGCAGCTCTAATTTTCATTTCATATCGATTTCAATATTAATTTGTATTTCATGCTTTAAAAAAAGAAAATAATCTCTAGCTGATCACTTTAAAATAAGGATTTAACAAACTGAGCTGTAGGTTGCAGCAAGGGACACCAATATGGTCATTAATCCATTAAATATTCAATGAATTGCACTTTATATTACCAGTATTTTAAAAAAAAGCTGAAAATTTAGTTTATATTTAAAATTTTCGTAGCAGTAGCTTTTTAAAAAAAAATATTTTGTGCTCATTTAAAACACATACAACAAAAATCATAATTAAAAAACAAAAACAGTTCCCATTATTATAAAATCAGGTAGTTAAGTAATAGTGGTTAGAGAATTTCATAGAATGTCAAGGGATTTAAATTGTATTTATATATGAAAGATTACTGAAATATTCACCAACCTTATTCATGACAATAACAAATGGCAATTTGGTTTATGAAAGATTACTGAAATATTCACCTACCTTATTCATGACAATAACAAATGGCAATTTGGTTTTATAAAGTATGCTGCAGGCATACAGCATGTTGGACATGAATGTGACGGGGTTCACACTTCTGGGAGTGTCCATTACATATACAATTACAGTAGGAAAGCTGGATGCCTGGGGAGAATATCAATCAGAGTGGTCAAGCTTCTGAGCATTAGTAACATTAGGTGAAGGAACATCAAATCTGAATTGATTTTTGTTTTTTTACAAATAAATTCCTTTAATATATAAATTTATAAAACCTTATCTTTGACTGGGATTCCAAGCATACGTTTTTAAACAGATGTTTCTTATTATTTAGTTTTTAGAAAAAGATTGTTTTTAAATTCTTTTATGGCACCCAAACAGATAATTATTATTTAGATAATGATTACTCTTGTATAGAAACGACCACTATTTCTGAAAATAGGACTTTAATGAGTGGAATGATGTTTCCCTGGACCACTTTAAAGAAACATACCAATGACTCAGTTATAATTGTGCCTGATGCAGACCATGTAAAAACTTCTATCTGACCTGGTGTATCAAGGACCACATACCTGAAATTTAATAAATATGACACATGATAAGATTCTTGTATTGATCCAAATAAATGGAAATTTTTTAAAACTACATTGTACATATTCATTTTCAAAACATAGATAGACAAACATTTTTAAACTAGAACTAGTTAAACACAAAACATCTCATTTTTTTCCTCTCAAGTGCAAAAATCAGCTATCATATGCCATGAAACGTCACTCTCTTAGAGACAATTAATATTGACTTTAAGGGCGGTCATTCAGATTTTTTAACAGCTGGGGCAGCACATTGCTAAATTCTGATAGATTGGGGCAACAAATGAATTTTCATATCTTTTGACCTTAATTTTGAGGAAAAAAAAATAGTCTAAAAAAGTGTATTATTTGCTTTACAAAACATTGAATCTGATTAAAAAGTTTCATGTTCTAATTTGAAAAAAAAAATTAAAAAAATAAAAGTAAGGCAACTTTTGTAGGTACATAGTGCTTACTTGCATTCTGAAGACTTTGATTCAATGAAGTTCATCACCTGTAAATGATGTATAGAACATTGTTTATTCTCTAAAAAAAGAATTTCAAAAGAAATCATTGCAAGAAGCCATCATGAAATGCATATATATGTAATGAGAATATTAATTAATGAGTTACCAATATTGATAAATGAATGCACTATATGTCGCACCTTGATATTCTTTATGAATGCACTAATGAAGCACTGTGATAAGGTCTTTCATAAAGCTTAAGGACCTCCTTTGTATGTTTGATTGTTAAAATATTTTAATCTCACAAACACCAAGCAATGAGCACAGAAGAAAAACTGACTCACCTGATCAAAACGTGTTGCAAAAAGGTTAAGAGATGTTACGATGCCCCCATTTGGACCAAGAGAATAACTAAACGTTTGTTAAGAAGTTAGATTTTAAAATGATTCATCTAAAACAGTGGTTCTTAACCTGGGTTCGATCTTTTCCCAGGGGTTCGGTGAGTCAGTCTCAGGGGTTCGGCGGAGGTCCAAAAAAAAAATCATATTTTATTTTTCAAATAAGAAGGGTTCGGTGAATGCGCATATGAAACTGGTGGGGTTTGGTACCTCCAAAAAGGTTAAGAACCACTGATCTAAAACAATGATGGTTGCTATAAAATTTTAATCAAATGTGAATAAATAAGAGGTAACATTTATAATTATTTGTGTCTTTAGCTCTTTAATCTACTAAGATGAAAGAGTATTGAGATTCAGTTTTTTTTATCCATAAGCATTCTTTTTAAAGGATACTGTTTCATCACCTCTTTGTAGTTGACTGTGTCTCTGATATCTGGTAAGATTTTAAATGATAAGATCAAAACAATTACTAAACCAAATTATAATGAAGTAGATCTATGTGTTTGAAAGGGTAAAAAGCTTTTATGTCTAAAATGACTACTTAAAGCTGACCTGTCCATAACTTAATGTCAATGTATTTGTAGCAAATTTTACTGAATGCCCTGTAACAACCCCCCCCCCCCGGAAAACTTAAGCTTCTTTATTTAAGTTAAAATTGTCAGCTTTAAATTTTAAATCAAGAATATTAAACATTTTTTAAGAGAGAACACTCCAAAATAAGCAAACTAAGACATTGTAATTGGAAAAATCAAGAGTTTTGTGTCAAAGATTGTAAAAAAGGAAGTTTGAAACAAAATATTAGTTTTTTTCTCTCTCTCTTCCTTCTTTACACCCCTTCTCCCCCAACCCCCCATTCAATAATTATTTTTAATGATACCAGTAAATGATTATTTTCCACTGATGTTGTGATGATAGCTTAACTAAAAATATCAACTTTGAACCAATTACCAATGTTAGCAGGGTAAGGTACTTCAAGAACTGCTGGGTCCAGATTGATCACATAAGGTGGAAGTTTCTTAGCATGCAGGTGTGCATTGATTCTCTGCGAAATGGAGATAAAACTTTTTTTACATCCATAAATTAAATTTATATCACTACTCATTTGAACGGTGGTCTGTGGTGATTGGGTAACTTAATGCATTTTAAATTATAATTTTGTATATTTTATGTCTCAAAACTTGGCATAGTCGTAATACAGTGATACATTGGAATCCAAACTTAATCTGCTCCATAACCCTGTTTGAGTTCCAAGACCATTTTTCACCTTTAAAATAATAGACACTGGATTAATCCATTCTTAGGGTACACAAACTCAAATTTCAAATGTGATTTAACAGTGAAAACACACATCAGCTGCTTTGATAGCTTGTTCATTTTTCAAAATAGTAACTTAAAACAATTAGATTAAACAGATCTTAACTATTTGACTCCTGGAGGTATTTACATGGGTTTCCAAGCACTTTGAGACACAGAACAAAAACAAGATGATTGTGAAACTAAAATCTAAAAGTGTTGCATATCAACGGCAAGGAAATGGACTGTACTTTTCTATAAAATTATTTTTTAAAAATTTGGACTTAAAATTAAAAAAACATTTACTTGACAACAGCACAAACAGAAAAAGATATGAAAAAAATAATTTCTATAAGTTTATTTCCGAAATGTGTCAACCCATTTACAAAATATTACTCACACAGACAGTATATTTAGTCAACAATAAAATACCCACATGTAAAGATTGGTTGAAAAATAAAAAAATTCTCACAATGTCGCACAGCATATATATGTGACGTGACGTACGTTGTCTAGGGGTTGGTCCCCTGAGTACTAGCCACAGAGCAATTTTCAAGGGTCTAGAACCCCTGTTGTCTAGCCCCTACAGAGCTGATGTGCTGAATAGTCCAAGTATTTATTAAAACAAATGATGCAAAGCTTCAGGGTTCATATGATTTATTGCCTCCATCTTCCTGACAGTGGAAAAATGCATAGTAAACATCCGCTGGTGTTCAGAATACAAAATTTGTGTCCAGAAAAATGCTGCACATAATATAAAAAATATTTTTACAGAAGTCCTCTGCCATCCATAGAAAAATCTCCCTTAACAAACTAACGTCCTCACATCCAATCCACACTCTCTATCATCACGTGGTTCCTCCAGACACAGCACACCGGTCATACCTGACCGAGAAAAATAAAACTCGTGGGGCACACGGGAAAAAGAAACTCACCCACGATTGGTCAAATTAACATCCTAAAAGCTGATCCAGAGAACTCACGCGATCTGACCGTGACAATATATGCTGAGTAAATTTTCAATAAATACCATCAAATCATATTTAACTAATAATGGGTCCTACAAATAATAAGCTGGGAGGATGAGGCTAGGAAATGGAATAAATTTACATGCACAAAAAATATTATATTTCCGCTTTATTTTAGCACAAGTTTAAGTATTATTATTATAAATTAAAAATATATTTAAAGTAACAGCTAAGGAACTATTTTAAGCATTTTATCCGAATGTACAAGTTATGAAAAAAAAAGTATTAATCAAAATATTATGATCTAAGAATTGCAGCTTAATCACATTTATCGGGAAAACCCAAACATATGTTATTCTTAGTGCGTATTTTAGTGCATTGTTAGTATTGCGAAATAAAAATAAAATTAATTTGATCTTAATAATTTCGCAAATGACTCATAGCCCAATTGCCTATCTTAGCCATAGCTCTAAGTTTTTTTTAAAATTTTTGTGCCTGACAAAACTAATGATATATTTTCCCCTTCTTAGAAGTAAAATTAATACATATATCTAATACATTGCTTTATAAATTGCTAAAATTCTATAAAATTAAATATAGCTTTAGATTTGTATTTTTAACATTTAATAAGATTTACATTCTTTACAAAAATATACTTTTAATACGCAAATGCAGTTTAATACAATCAGTACAGCGAAACTACTTTTCCAAATAGCCTTCAGTAATGCACTTATAACTCATCCAAAAAAGAATAAAGCATGTGGAATTCAAAAAATTTGCACTATTTGTCCGGCGACCAAGTCACATGACCGCCAGAAGAATACTTTATTGAGATATTCATCTGGCGACCAAGTCACATGACCGCCGTAACAAAGTGGCGAGAGATATTTTGTCCATCAGCCTTGTCACCTGACCGCGAATGATTCAAAACTATTGTGAATTTTTAAATCTATTTCTCTACCAAGTAATGTACTGAGTATCTTGCATGCAAATAATAGAAAAAAACTTAAGTGAAAGTGGCTTGTAAACATTTTTGTTTAGTTTGTTATTTGAGTTTGTGTACCAGTAATCCATAAAAAAAATTAGGGGCCAGTATGGAGTAGGCAACCAATAAAAGTAAAAGATTTCATTTTAAATTGTTTAAATTGCTACTAAATATTTAAAAACTTCTCATAAAACTACTACTGCTGATGAACATGATAATATAAATATAACATAAAATATTTTTAATTAAAATGTGGAAAAAAAAAACAATCCCATGCAAGGAATTGATCCACAAGCGGCCACTCTACCACAAGACCACACAAGATCTTCTTTATTAGGCATAGCTTAAAACCAGGCCAATGGGACATTTTTGCCGTGGTGTACCAATCACATGATCAACGGAAAATGGACCCCATGTGATCAGTGGGGTCCAAATAGCGATTTTGGCAAACGGATCCGGGTCCGAATAGCCACTTCGTTTGGAATAATAACGACTATCACGCGCACTATTTGTCTGACATGCCGGATGTGTAGACACTTCGTATAAATATGCGCAATGGCTATATATTTTATATAAGGAAACGCATCGCCTTATCACTTAAGTACTTTTTAGGGTCGACTTATTTTAAACTTTAAACTTTAGCACATGAATAATTAATTAAAGCTTTCCCTGACCAATGGTATAATAGTTTTTGCACACGGCAAACTCTTATGAATAAAACTCTAAGATAGTACTACGATATAGACGTTATGCAGGTGGCTGTGAATGGTTGCCAATGACAACGTGTTGCACACTGAAAATTCTGATCATTTATGATATGGACTCTACAGGGTTTTTAAAGCTCAAATTAAAACATTCCAGTTTAAATGTCTTCAAAATGCATTCTGAAACACAAGTTATCAAATATTTTGATGTATATAGTGTTAATAATGAAATATTTCTTAAGTATCTGCAACTTCCGCCAATATAAAGGGGGCGTGGCCCACGCCATGTCAAAATTAGGCTGAGCCACCTTATGGTGATATGGGTCACTGTGAGAAGCGTAACAAACGTTGGACACGACCAACATCAATGAGAATTGGCACAGATATATCAATATCTAAATTCTAATGCTTAAACAGATTTAATCAAAAAGGGCCTTATCTTACTATTTCACAAAAAATTTTGTATGCGAAGATGCCTTGTATATACCAAAGATTTTCAAAATAAAGGTCGATTGAAAAAAGCAAAATAACTGTATGGAAATGTAGGCCAAGATGTCTTCCAAATTATAAGGCCGCAAACGGAACTCAAATATATGTATTATGTAGAAATAACTCATTTAATAATAAATAGACACACACATCGGAAAATTAAAAACTCGGATTTTTCAGCGCCGACACCCATTTCTGATACACAAAAAGTAGTAGTATCCCATGTTTCATCGAAGTATCTATTCATAGCCACTTAAATACAAAATTTAAAAAAATTGAAATAATTTTTTAAATAACACAGTTAGTTAGAGCAAATTTCAAATAAAAAAATGAAACCAGAATCAACTTTTTAGCTTAAGTACTTTTTGAGCTATGAATTTTTAAAGTGTGAGTTCGTTTGGTATTTTTTACTATGGACGAAACCTCCACATCTTGTGACCTCATTCCGCTGATCGGGTCATGGGCAATGACTATATACTTTATATAAGGCAACGCATCGCCTTATCACTAAAATACTGTTTAGGGTCGACTTAGTTTAAACTTTCAACTTTGGCACATGAATAATTAATTAAAGCTTTCCCTGACCAATGGTTTAATAGTTTTTGCACACGGCAAACTCTTATGAATGAAACTCTGAGGTAGTACTACGATACAGTTATGCAAGTGGCTGTGAATGGTTGCCAATGACAACGTGTTGCACACGGTAAATTCTGATCATTTATAATATGGATTCTACCGGGTTGTTAAAGCTCAAATTAAAACATTCCAGTTTAAATGTCTTCAAAATGCATTCTGAAACACAAGTTATCAATTATTTTGATGTAGATAGTGGTAATAAATTAATATTTCCTAAGTATCGGCAACTTCCGCCATTACAAAGGGGGCGTGGCCCACCCCATGACGAAATTAGGTTGAGCGAGCTGCATGACCTGCTGCGAACGCGCAGAAACATAGCGTCTCTCGTAAGACACTTATCGCTGTGAAAATTGGCATACATGTAGATCAATAGATTCCCCAGATGCAAAAAAAATTTGGTAGTGACAAATTTTTTCCTTCGACTTAATTTTAATGATGAAAGTTGCCTTATATATACCAAGGATTTTCTCAAAGCTGACTGATTGTAAATGAAAAAGAAATTGATTAAAATGTAGGCCAAGATGTCTACCTAATTATAAGGCCGAAAACGGAACTCAAATATATATCGAAAGTACTAATTTAATAATAAATAGACACACACATCGGAAAATTAAAAACTCAGATTTTTCGGCACGGATTGCGAATTCCCATACACAAAAAGTAGTAGTCTCCCTTGACTTACCGAAGTCCCTACTATTCATTGAATAGATAACAAAATCACAAAATTAACACCCGGTTTTTGTTGTTTCCAGTGTGATATCGAAGTACCTACAACAAGGTATGCATGTTAGCCATTTCATTAAGTAGAATATTTAGACTAGAAAGAGTAAATTTAACTTTAGGCTTAATCTAATCCTTTTCTTTAGTCTACAATTTAGTTTTTTTAGCCAGGTGAGTTGATTATTGATGAATGGTGGTTGTATCTACCTGAACAAAACTGGTCTTCCCTGATCCTGCCATTCCAAGAACGATAATGCAAATCGGCTTAGTTGAATTTATGGAAGGTGGTAATGTTTTGTCAGTTTCTGTTTCCCTAAGTGTACTAAAGTTTTTTGAATTGAATTCAGCAGCGTCCACAGCAGCGCTAACATTTTCGTCTTGTGTGCAAGTCGCCATATTTGTTTACAAATTCAGTTCCGTTTCTAAATTTACTATCGCAAATTTATTTAGGCCCACATATTTTATAAAACAAATTAAATGTTTGCAAATATGAGTATAATAATTTGAAGTGCTTTTAAATTTAAGAAATCGTTCACAATCTATAATTTTTTTGGAACTGATTTAAAAATTTATATTTTGCCTTACTGTTCAGTGTTTTTATACCCTTTTACTTTTATTACTTTTAATAGTTTTAAAATATTCCTTTAGCGTCATTTTTTTTACCGAGATCAAACTAATATCACTCATCTTTTTAAATTTTAGTTGTATATTAACCGTAACATCCCGATTATTATCACATAAAATCTAATTACTAAAACACTCTCAGCTATTAAATGATATGTATAAGTTTTAAACAACATTTTCACGTATTTTAAAGATATATTTCATTATAAATTCAAGTACAAAAAATATTTTTTAGTCATTTCCTATCCAACTAATTTCTTCATATTCCTATTGAAGTAGGGCAATTATTTTTTAAATAATAAACTGTAGAGAATTATATGCACGTTAAAGACTATTGAATCATTTGTTAACATCTTTGGCATCAATAACCTTTGTAAATGCATTAAAATAAAATGTTTGCAATGAGCATTTTGATGGTGTCTCGGTAATCTATACTTTCTCGGTTAAATGTGATTAGTCGATTAGTATATATTTTTAAGTCGATGTTTTTAAATCAAGGTATTGATTTAAGGCTCAAATAATGAAATTATTGAAATATCCCAATCTTTTTTTCTATTATTCTACCTTTCTTTTAGTAGGGCCTACTATATACTAAATTGTATAATATTAGCATTTGGTCCGTAAATGTATATATTACTATTCAATATAGTAATTCTATAATATAAAATATATATATATATATTAATATATAAGTTTACTATTTAAAATATTAATTTATTATTAGAATAATAATAATAATATACTTAATTAGTTTAACTAGGCACTCACTTGGTATTTACTATACCATCATACTTACCCATGGGCGCCCGCCCGGGGGGGGGGCACTTGCAAACACCCCCCCCCCCGGATTGATTGGATAACATTTTTTTAGACAAAACATTTATGAAAGTTAAGAGAAAATAAAGAGAAAGTAACTAAGCTGATATAACTAAGCCTATGTCCTTTCCCTTTGTTCACCAAACAAAAACGCTACAGTAAATTAAAACTACATTAAAACATTACTAAAAATTATTTGCCCTTCCCTAGAAAGTAAATCGATTTTTTTGCCCCCCCCCCCCCTTAGAAAGTTTTCTGCGGGCGCCCATGTACTTACCTATGCCTAACTATAATATTAGGCATTAGCCCTAAGTTGTTTAAATTAAAAATTCTTCAACGTCGTCATTTTTATGTCAAATCATAGTAATAATATAAGTAATAATAAGTATAAGAAAGAATGATAATAAATGATACTGGTATTATAAGTTATTATTATAAGTGTAAGTATAAGGCGCAGGACTGTGATTGTGATGAATGGAAAATTATTTTGGACGGCCTATTATGCTGGTGGGTCATGCCTATGCTGGTGGGTCATGCCTATGCTGCGGCTGGTGGGTCATGCCTATCCCTATGCCCCAGACCGGGTAAAAAGTTCTAGGGCCTAGGCCTAATACCTCATAAGTATAATTGTTGTCGGCCTGTGATGTGCTGCTTATCTTGGTATTATGGTATGGGTGGTTTGATAAATTTAGCTATTAAAATTGGCAATTTTTCTTAAATTAAGACACGTCTAATTAAGTTTTTGAGCATTGGAACTAGAGTTAAGAGATGTGAAGAGTGAAGAATATAAGATTAAGAAGGGTGGTAAAATAAAAAGTCTATTGAAGCACATTATCATGATGATGGCGATGGTTTTGTATGTTTTTAAAAAAAATATGTCTGCTCTTCTATCTATTGCATTGGCTTTAACTTTAACCTTCTTGGAATGTTAAAACCATGATAAATAATCTCATATAATTAATACTGAAAATATTTTTTTTTATAAAACTAGATCTATAAGTTAAATTGGTACCGTACCTTCAGGTTTTTTAAGCCTTCTTGAGATTGATTATACATTTCTTATATTTATATCTATTGTTCATAAAAACTAGCGAATCAAAAGTGGGTGATAACTCTGATTTGGGCATTCACAGTACTCAGCCTTTAACTGAAACTCAAGTTTCTTTACCTAGACCAAACCTCTAGGGACTGATCTCTATTCTGCTGGTGACTCACTACATTCTCACTCACCAGGCGAGGACTAATTACATTCTCACTTACCATTACAGTCAGTCGGTCAGCACAACCAAATCAGTCAAGGAACGGGGAAAACACGTCAAGAAGAGGTGTGTATTTTTAAAATAATAGTTATCATTTCAAATTTAAAACTTAATACCTTTGTGCATTTTTTAACATTTTATTAATTGTCTCATGCTATTATCAGTTTTAAATTATTTTAACCATGGTGATTTTAAATGACTATTAAAATTTGGTAGTGCAAATTGAGATCTTATCATTTAAATGATCCCACCAAAAGAAGTGAAGATGAGAAATCCTACATGTTTCTTTATGATTTCACAACTCTAGTTAAAAATATCATGTGTTCAAAAATATTTTGTAGTTATATATTTATATAGTTAATCAACTCTACGCAATGTTTCATAATTAGCCCTTTCATTACAGCTGGGTTTTTTTTTGGGGGGGGGGGGGGGGGGGCCCCCCCACCCCCCCCTATTTTTGCTGACTCAGCAATTAAAAAACTTTAAAGTACAAACTTCGGGTACTTTTCATACTCTATCCGATTTGCTTATTAACGTCTCTATAGACTAACAAATAAAGAAATAAATAGCATTGAAATATGACATCGACGTGACGTCCTTGGTATTTTTGAAAAGTTTTATGACGACAATGTGACGTCCTTGGTAATTGAAAGTGGGTGATCGTGAGTCGCATCTAAGTCATCGGTAATGAAAGGGTTAAAAAGAAAGATGGGACTTACAATGTAATATGAGGAGAATGTGGGGAATGCCAAATTACTTTTATTTTAATTGTATCCTTAGAGTAGGAAAATTTTAAACCCCAATTCCAGATCTACAACAGGAAAAAAGTTAATGTTATTACACACACTGACAATGGGAGGAGGGGGTGGAAATGGGGGGCGGGGGTGCAGAGTTTATCTGAAATATTTTTCAAGACCAAAGTACTGTCTCTAAGTGTTTAGAGAAAAACCTTGAAGATTTGAGCTCAGCATAAATTAACATTTGTTAGCGTTGGACTATGGTGTATTTTAGTGGGTACACCCAGGAAGCAGGAGTTGCTCAGTTTATAAAAGAAAGCTCTGCAAAGGATTGAAGAAGTGTTACATTTTCATGGCTGGGAGAACTAACATATTAAATTTCTTTTTTGTTATTTTGTTTATCAATATCACCTTGATCCAGAAGCCACCTGGGAAAGTGCCCCTTGGCTCAAGGCCATAGTCAAAATCTGGTTCACTCTCTTCAGTAATACCACTATACAAGTGCCATGTTTCCACTTCTTTATACAACCTGGCCATTTTCTTTAACTGTACACCTCTAACTGCACATGTGAAAATTTTGTATTTTTTTCATATTTTTTTCAAATCATAAGCAATCTTGTGGCCATAGATTGGGGAATCTCTGTTAACAATAAAGCATACCGAACATAATTGTATGATCTGATGCAAGCATTTAAGAATCAAAATTAGATTTCTGAATCACATTACACGCATCCGGTTTATATATAATTTTGTGTACACTTTAAGTATAAATATAAGTATAAGTAAGTTTTCAGAAATGTATTTTTATTATACAAACTTATAACATTAATAAAGTTGTTATAATTTTGAAATTTCATCATTAGTATAAGTACAGAAACTGGAGAAGCTGTGAAAAGTTGTGGCAAAAGCTCAACCAGACCTGACATAGGTAGCCCACCCCAAACACACAAAATGTGACATAAAAGTTGACCCCTGGTTTGCTGTATGCACCTCATTACTATTGGATTTGTTTGTTTTTGTGGCCAGCATCCCCATGCATTGCCTGCCTCTCCATATTTTTTTTTTTACCAAACAATCATAAATAATAGTTTTATACAAGAGATACATGACTCAACGAGTCTCATATGCTCTGTTACCTCATTGATACAGATCAAACTTTTTAGTCTGGTTCCGGTCCAATGTCCCTCAGAAAATTTTTATAGTTAAAAAAAAAAAAATATGAACAGATTCCTTTGCACACTCCACATATTTTATTAGAACTGAAGCAAATAATAAAACTTGATAGATGGTCTATGTCCGGTTCCATCTTTGTCACTGCTACCAGAGTAGCTGTACTGGTGGCCAGTCTCTGGCCCACATGTGGTATTTTGAGGACCCCTTCTATAGATCATTGTTTCAGAAAGGTTCCTAACCTCCACCCACACCAAGCAACCCTAACACCCTACCCTGATGATCGTTCCTCTTGTTTAGGGAGCTTGCGATTTTTGTGCTTTTGTCCGTGTCAAATCTTGCATCTCAATTTTGACCCCATGCCCGACGTCCAATTGAGCTGAAACAATTTTTTTTTTTTTTACACTTAACCACTTACCCCCCCCCCTTTTTTTTTTCCCCACCCCCACCCCCTTTCGAAGACCGCACAACCTTTCATGTTCAGTTGGTCACGAATGACCTCCACTGACCCTTGAGTGACCTCTGCTGGTCAAGTCTTGCACCTCACTTTTGACCCACTCCCTGATCTCCAATTAGCTGAACCTTTGTACACTTTCACGAAAAAGTAAAAAAAAAAAATTACTTTTGTGTGTGTGTGTAAAAACACGCTTTTCCAAAAATGTAATAAAAGTATAAAATACATTTCCCTCCAAAACGTCCGAGTTGTTACAGTCCTATGACCTAAAAAAATATTTAAAAAAAAAAGCCTTGGGTGCCCATGAAATACCATGAATGTCGTATTACTTTTTCTTAGATTGCTTTATCCGTTTGTCTGTGGTCAAATATTGCACCTCAATTTTTGACTCGCTTCCTCATCTCCAATCAGCAGAAACAAAGAACATTGGGTTCAAGGGCGCCCCTCGTTTTTTTGTCTTAGTCATGTACAGTTTTTTTTTTAGTCATGTACACTTTTTTGTCACGTAGGTTTTTTTTTTTTTTTTTTTTTTTTTTTTTTTTTTTTTTTTTTTTTTTTTTTTTTTTTTTTTTTTTTTTTTTTTTTTTTTTTTTTTTTTTTTTTTATACTCATGTACACTTTTTTTAGTCATAGACTAACACCTCTGAATTTTGAGGGGGACATTTATTTGATACTTTTAGAGAGCATTTTTGGAATTCGTGGTTTTTTTTTAAATTTTTTAAGGTATTTTTTATATTGTTTTCTTTTTGTTTCTCCTGGGACCCAAATAGATCTGCTTTAGACAAGGATTTAAGGTTAAATTGAATGATCGAATAATGCATTAAAAATAATAATTGAATCTCTACTTTTTAAATCTCTGCCTTTGTGGGACTTTCCTGTTGCCAATGCAGCATTTATTGATTTTTTTAAGATCGTTCATTTATGATGATAGAACTGAAAGATGCTAAAAAAATACAGAAATACATAACAGGATTGTATTATACAAAGATGAAGGAATAAGAAGAAAAAAAAACGTGAGAAGGTGCGATATGCCTCTGTGGGCGATCCGTTTAAATTATACCATTAGAACATTTTACATTTTCTTTACAAAAATGTGCATGTTCTAAGTGCTTAACATTTTTCGAGTGCACGTTAGCAGACAACGGTAGTATACTTAGTTTATACAATGAATTTTAGTTGCGTGACGTTGTTTGTAGCTCAGAGGGAGCACATGTCATTGGAATACAGCGCTTGCCTTGGGTAAGGTTGTCTCTCGTTCAGAGGGAGCACATGTCATTGGAATACACCGCTTGCCTTGGGTAAGGTTGTCTGTCATTCAGAGGGAGCACATGTCATTGGAATACACCGCTTGCCTTGTGTAAGGTTGTCTGTCATTCAGAGTGAGCATATGTCATTGGAATACAGTGCTTGCCTTGTGTAAGGTTGTCTGTCATTCAGAGTGAGCATATGTCATTGGAATACAGCGCTTGCCTTGTGTAAGGTTGTCCGTCATTCAGAGTGAGCATATGTCATTGGAATACAGTGCTTGCCTTGGGTAAGGTTGTCTGTCGTTCAGAGTGAGCATATGTCATTGGAATACAGTGCTTGCCTTGGGTAAGGTTGTCTGTCGTTCAGAGGGAGCACATATCATTGGAATACAGCGCTTGCCTTGGGTAAGGTTGTCTGTCGTTCAGAGGGAGCACATATCATTAATATACAGCGCTTGCCTTGGGTAAGGTTGTCTGTCGTTCAGAGGGAGCACATATCATTACTATACAGCGCTTGCCTTGGGTAAGGTTGTCTGTCGTTCAGAGGGAGCACATATCATTACTATACAGCGCTTGCCTTGGGTAAGGTTGTCTGTCGTTCAGAGGGAGCACATGTCATTACTATACAGCGCTTGCCTTGGGTAAGGTTGTCTGTCGTTCAGAGGGAGCACATGTCATTACTAAATTACTATACAGCGCTTGCCTTGGGTAAGGTTGTCTGTCGTTCAGAGGGAGCACATGTCATTACTATACAGCGCTTGCCTTGTGTAAGGTTGTCTGTCGTTCAGAGGGAGCACATGTCATTACTATACAGCGCTTGCCTTGGGTAAGGTTGTCTGTCGTTCAGAGGGAGCATATGTCATTACTATACAGCGCTTGCCTTGGGTAAGGTTGTCTGTCGTTCAGAGGGAGCACATGTCATTACTATACAGCGCTTGCCTTGGGTAAAATTGTCTGTCGTTCAGAGGGAGCACATGTCATTACTATACAGCGCTTGCCTTGGGTAAGGTTGTCTGTCGTTCAGAGGGAGCACATGTCATTACTATACAGTGCTTGCCTTGGGTAAGGTTGTCTGTCGTTCAGAGGGAGCACATATCATTAATATACAGCGCTTGCCTTGGGTAAGGTTGTCTGTCGTTCAGAGGGAGCACATGTCATTAATATACAGCGCTTGCCTTGGGTAAGGTTGTCTGTCGTTCAGAGGGAGCACATATCATTAATATACAGCGCTTGCCTTGGGTAAGGTTGTCTGTCGTTCAGAGGGAGCACATATCATTAATATACAGCGCTTGCCTTGGGTAAGGTTGTCTGTCAGTGGCTTAGGAAGCAGGTAAAGTGGGGACGTCCCCTCCCCGCGGGGGATTTTTTAATTTTAAAAAGTGGAGTGACATTTTCTGTTAGCTACAGAGGGTTTTTGTTTTTTTCGTGGAAGGGGGCGCACAAACTATTGGCCCGGCCATAGCTACGCCTATGTTTTTTGTAGTTCAGATTGAGCTTAATTCATAGGACTACACGTAAACATTTCTCAGATACTAGATGACCGATTGGGAATGTGGGGGTGGGGGGGGGATACGTTACAACTTGACTAAAGGTTGAAATAGTCGCTTCAGAGAAAACGAATGTTATATGGTGTCATATGCGGAATAAGGAAGAGTTATCGTGAATACAAATTAATTGCTTCATTAAATAATTTGTTCTGGAACTTGTTCAATTCTCGGTGCTCTTCCTGTACCCTGGTTGTCCAAAATGTTTAATTTCAGCTTTAGGTAAAAATAAAAAATAAAAAAACCGGGTATTTAAGATGGCATAGCCACATCTAGGAATCAATTGTAGAAGCTTCTGGACAAACAGGCATGTATTTTTAAGTAAATGGTTTGCCCCAGTTTTGCTAGATGACGCGTCTTGTCAACTAGAATTGAAAATGGAAAGACATTTCGTGGTGTCTCTGTCTTTTGCGATTAACTGAATAATATTATAGTGACTTTGTGCTGGCGCTCATTTTGTGCAAATCTACAATCGCTCCTACAATTGGCAATTAATGAATGGGCGTCTGGCTAACCACTATAGTTCCGCTCTGAGTGCATACACATTGTGTTTGGTGCAACAGATTGCATGCTACACATCCGGCCATTGAAAGACCTTATTGGGCTGTCCCATGTGAGAAGGAAGTTAAAAATCACTCACATTTCAGTAAGAACACTATCTGTGCATTTTTTGCACAAACGCTCACCAATATACAGCAGATGGCAACGGAGTAAATGTACTTGGTTAATTGTGGGTGTGAGGGATGATGATAAAGGAAGAACTGGTCGTGTAGATAAGCTATTGTGTAGTGTATGGTATAAACGAATGGGGAAATGGAAGAAAGGCGTGAGAATGGACAGGAGCGTATCTGTGTGAGAATGGACAGGAGCGTGAATAGGTAGAGGCATTGTGTGAGAGGAGACGGGGCGTTTTATGAGAATTGATAACGGCGTGCATATATATTTAGCACCATCTTTCAGCCCACGTTAACCTTTGTTACCTCCACCTTTGCCCCCCCCCCGTCTTAAGTTCGTTTTGGTCAAACCAACCACACATACCAGCCACATACCCACATAGTGGTTTTAACTTTCCAAGCGGCACAGCTTCGTCTGGCTTCGCCGCCTGGCACACGTGTTGCGAATCCCTTTTAAATATGCAATGTTTTCCCCGTAGTAAAAATACTTTGGTTGTATTTGAAATAGGTTAATCTCTTCACTGCTATATCTTTTTACATCCCCCCAAAAAAGCAACAATAGGTATATTCGTTTAGAAAAAAGGGCTTAGATTTGGAGGGGGCGCGTGCAGAGGAATAACCATTCCGTTGAAACAAGAGGGCCCACTGTTTATAACCATTCCGTTGAAACAAGAGGGCCCACTGTTTATAACCATTCCGTTGAAACAAGAGGACCTACTGTTTATAACCATTCCGTTGAAACAAGAGGGCCCACTGTTTATAACCATTCCGTTGAAACAAGAGGGCCCACTGTTTATAACCATTCCGTTGAAACAAGAGGGCCCACTGTTTATAACCATTCCGTTGAAACAAGAGGGCCCACTGTTTCGTAACGTGAAATAACATTTGTTTTCATGGACCCGAAAAGTGCATTGGTGTGTACGTGTATTAAAACATAAATTGGTATTTGTAAGATGTCGATCTATTCAGTAATATCTTAACAGTGACGGCGTCCGTTCATTGGACCCTCCACACAGTGCTCCGGGAGACCAGGTTTTTGTACCTGGTAGGTAGGGACGCTCTACTCAAGATACATAGTAGAGAGTCTACTCTGGCCCGTGACCGCAATCAAAGGCCTACTTCTACCTGTTGTCAACACGAAAGTGGGGCCCTATCATTGGCCAGGTTCGCGGTTGACTGCCCGCCACTCACCGAAGCCAGACGAAGATCCCGACCCGACCCTCGGCTTGGTTTACGGATGTGCTCCAACTGCCCGAGGGATTAAGTTGTATCCGTTAAATCTAGTATTCTGCGAAATAAAGCTGTAGTTAATTTTATGGATTTCGAGTTGATCTCTCGCAGGTTTGTGCTATGGATTCGGGTGGGTCATTAATTTACCATCTGAATCTATCGTAATCCAAATTTTAACTGATGGAGTCTATGAACTATAACGCTGACAATAAATATATAATTTATGAGTTAGCCAATTTCTTCATTTTGTAGAAAATATGTTTAAACTGGGTAATGAAATTCAGTACTGAGTGCGTGATCTATTTTTAAATGTTTTTTTAAAAAATAATAGGAATTAATGATTACACTCCAGTGGAAAACAAACAACAAAACTGTGAAAGAGCCGAAGAAGGCTCTTAGCCGAAACGTTCTCGTTTTATCGCCCAGTCACAATATTTCAATCTTCTACATACCGTGTTCCACCATTTCCTTCACACAGCTTGAATGAACGCAGTCCTTCATGAACGCAGTCCTTCATGAACGCAGTCCTTCATGAACGCAGTCCCTTCATGAACGCAGTCCCTTCATGAACGCAGTCCTTCATTTAATCCCTCTGAATTGAATTGTTTGCGAATTATAAAGTAATAGTAAGACCTTTTAAAATGATGAGCGGGGCGTAGCGTGGTCGTAACGGAGAGGGGGCGTGGCAGCAGTCGTTAGCTGCCTTGGTCGCTGGAAGGGTGCGCTAAAGAAAACGGACCAAGTTCAAAATGATTGATCAAATAATTTTACCCCGAAAATTTCCTTTACCGTAATAACGAATATAAAATATCAAAACATTTAATTCCACATAAGATTTATTCAGTTGGAAGTTTATTTAAAAAACAAAACAAACAACAAACAAACAAACAAAACACAAACAACAAGAAATAACTGAAAGAATGATTTTTCTCGACAGAAATGTAAACATCACAACCTGATTTAGTGATGTTTTTTTTATGTGTAAAAAGAAGAAGAAAGTGTGTGACTGACTCCACAGTCGCACATGGTCGATATCCCCCTAGTAGGCCCTATACACAGTACCAATATTTATATTCTTTCACTTCCTGAAATCCTACTTCCGGCAACAAGAATAAGAAGGAAATCTCTTTAGTTTTTTTTTTACTGTGATCTGCAACATGCTATTCTTCTTTTTGTCTTGTTTTCTGATGAAGGCACTTAGCCGAAACGTCCACCTTTTGTCCTGTCAATGAATTCAAGTTGACCACCACACCTTGTTCTTAGATTTCATGGAATGATGAACTCGTGAAACTTTTAGGCAACAGCTGTAGTAGTAGAATACACGTACCCCATCTCAAACCCCCGTTTCTTGGTGATTTGAGACCCTGCATGATGCAGCTTTTGTACCCCTTTTGTCTGCGGCTCTTTTTTCAGGGGCCCTTTTATCGGGGGGGGGGGGGGGGCTGGCTAATTGACTGGGGCCGTTAACCACGTTCGGTTTTGACGGCGGAACGGAGGCGAAAAGTAGGCCACGGGGGGGGGGGGGAGGGGTGGGAGCGCACCGGGCGGGGGTTGGTGATAGCATATGGCTGGGGGAGCCGTTAACCACGTTCGGTTTTGACGGCGGAACGGAGGCGAAAAGTAGGCCACGAGAGGGGGGGGAGGGGTGTGAGCGCACCTGGTGTGTGTTGGTGATATCATATGGCTGGGGGAGAGCTTCCTTATTTTTTTAACGCGTTTAAACTTTAAAAAAAGAAGAAAAAAAAACATGGCCCGTTTAACAATGCTACTTTTTAGTTAGAGTAGAGCACCGCCAATGTGTATCAGCGATAGATGCGGGACGGAAGTGGGGAGGGGTGTGTGTAGCGCCGTGGGAGGCACTTTTTTTTCTTTATGAGGGGTGTCATTTCATCTAAAGTTTTTTTTTTTGGGGCGGGGGGTGGGGGGAGCGGTTAAAAATCTTGGCCTGCCACGGTGGCAATAAATTTAGGTACCGTACGCCACTGCTCATTCGATGTATTTCCAGAGCTGAGGAATGCTGAAATCACCGCTACACGTAAGCGGTATTACCAGCCACAGTGACACGCCGTGTCAGGATAACAAAAGAACTGGGGTGCATTGATTAAAGTCGTACCCAATCCCAGCGTGACGTTGTCTTGCCTTGTCAACATAGAGTCACGTGAATCAGGGTTAAAATTAGCTCCCATTCATGGCGTGACCTCATAAGAGTGACAACGCGCCGTTTATGGCAAGAACGGAATCATGTATATAAACAAAGAATTCTTAAAATGAAAATTTCAACAGGTCAGTATCATGTGCAGTGGCGTAGGAAAGGGGGGGGGGGACTTTTTTCTTATGGTGGCATTTTGTTGGCCTCTTCTGACCGGAACTAGCCCTAGCTACGCCACTGAGCATGTGTAATAATTATTTTCCAAGTTATGCCAAGTTATACCATCTTACAGCAAACTGAGTTATACCATCCTATGTTATGCCAAGTTGTACCATCCTACTTTATGCCAAGTTATACCATCCTACATTATGCCAAGTTATACCATCCTACATTATGCCAAGTTATACCATCCTATGTTTTGCCAAGTTATACCATCCTATGCTATGCCAAGTTATACCATCCTACGTTATGCCAAGTTATACCATCCTATGCTATGCCAAGTTATACCATCCTACGTTATGCCAAGTTATACCATCCTATGCTATGCCAAGTTATACCATCCTATGCTATGCCAAGTTATACCATCCTACGTTATGCCAAGTTATACCATCCTATGCTATGCCAAGTTATACCATCCTACGTTATGCCAAGTTATACCATCCTATGCTATGCCAAGTTATACCATCCTATGCTATGCCAAGTTATACCATCCTATTTTATACCAAGTTATACCATCCTATGTTATGCCAAGTAATAACCAACCTATGTTATGCCAAGTTATACCATCCTATGTTATGCCAAGTTATACCATCCTATGTTACGCCAAGTTATACCATCTACATTATGCCAAGTTATACCATCCTATGTTATGCCAAGTTGTACCATCCTATGTTATGCCAAGCTATACCATCCTATGTTATTCCAAGTTGTACCATCCTATGTTATGCCAAGTTATGCAAAGTTATACCATCTTATGCTATGCCAAGTTGTACCATCCTACATTATGCCAAGTTATACCATCCTACATTACGCCAAGTTATACCATTCTATGTTATGCCAAGTTATACCATCTTATGTTATGCCAAGTTATACCATCCTATGTTATGCCAAGTTGTACCATCCTATGTTATGCCAAGTTATACCATCTTATGTTATGCCAAGTTATACCATCCTATGTTATGCCAAGTTGTACCATCCTATGTTATGCCAAATATACCGTCTTCTTATGTTATGCCAAGTTGTACCATCCTATGTTATGCTAAGTTATACGGTCTTGTTATGCCAAGTTGTAGCAAAATAGTTATTATAGCCAGCTGATTTTTGGGGGGCAATAAGAGATATGAGAAAGCTAGGGAAGGAGATGGTAACATAGAGAGATGAGGATTGTAAGGGTTAAGTCAAGTGATTATCAAAGTTGTTATGGCGGAGATTGTAGCGGTTTGGGTAGAAAGGATAAGTGTTAGTGTTAGCATGATTGAGGAGGGTATCGTGGAAAAAGGACATGTATGGCTTGGGTCAAAGTGTACGGGCTGAGAGGACAAGAGGGTCTAGGGGAAGCGAAAACGATGGGATTAAAATGGCATTGGTCAGAGGGAGACCAAGATCAAGATCAAAGATTGTCACAAATCCTTTTTATGTTCTTTAAGGCAATATGGCCAAGTGAAATTGTATCTAGCCTCAATGATAGCTTGCATTTTATTTATTTCTTGTCTACATAGTAAGATATATTAAAAAAATATTTACCCTCATATTAGTTGCTTTATTGTTGACTGCAAGCTCATATTAAAAATGTACTGCTATTACTGATTGCAACAAATTAATTTAATCGTTCCAGATTCCCAAGAGGAATGCCCCATACACTGGTGCTTTTGTCTCCTTTGGCCAAACGTGGAGGGAATTACTGCACAATTAAAAGGCTGAGGTAAAAGATGTTTTCAGAAATCTGTCAACAAAACTTTAATAAAAAAATATTGCTAAATATACTAAAGAAATTGCCGATCAAAACTGGAATGGACGGCATGGAATAAAAAAAAACGTTCAGGGTGTCCTCAAATGCAAAGAATGCAGGGTGCAAACACTTTTGACACATTAAAAGTAAGCATTGGTGTTAAAAAAAAATTATTTTATTTATACCATCATTGTAATGACCCTCCTCAGAAACCACTTGAAAAGTCATGGCTACATGTGTCACTTGGAAGACCCCAAGCTGTTCAGGAGCCGCAGGGAGTTCTCCACTGTTGTGGATAAGGACAATATTGGAGTCCTGATTGGCATACATGCTCTCAGGACAGGACCGTTCATGAAAGGTTGGTCCGATGTAAGAATCTTAGATGATACAATAAAGCATCACAAGTGGGACCTTTTCTCTGTGGGTCCAAGCATAAGATGATACCTGGACATCATTTGGCAGACAGCTCATATTGCCAAGTTAGACTGTATATAAATATATACTATTTACTATGCTAACTGACCGTAATCTTACTGTTTGAATGACAGTTGGCAAAATAAATCCAGAAAAAAAAAATGTAACAGTTCTAACCAATTGTGTATTTTTCCACAGACAGCAACATGCCATACATTTTGATTCTTGGGGGCACAGACATCAATGAGTTCAGCAAGGATCCTGATGCCCTGCACATCATGACAGAGGTTATTATGAAGGCAAAGTGAGAGTTCATTTTCCAATAGCCTCTCATTGGGTTATGATTGTTTAACTTTGCCTGGTGTTGTCTCCCTTGCCAGGAAAGATATTAAATGTACATTTTTAGAAAATTTATCGTCCATTTATTTCCTTTCATTTGGGAATGAACACTCAGGAACACTGTTTGCATGATTTTTTTAAAAAAAGAATAGTTTTTCATACTTGATTTGATACTGCTGTTAAAAAAATTAATGGTATTTTAATGGGGACACAATTTTAAAAAAAAATTGTTTTGATTATTTACCAAGTACCTATAATATGTCGTTAGCTAAAAGGGGGACATTGAGTTGCAAAACCAATTTTATGATTTGAAGAGCCCCACAAGCAACTCTGAATACATACAGTTTTCATTATAACTTGAAAACTAAAAATATAAATAGATTGAATTCCCTATACTATATTATTATTTATTTTATAGTTATGTTTAAGATAAAAACTGTACAAAAGAGGCGCTTTATTTTCAAAGTATATTTCTATTGCTTTGAACAATATGATAATTTTAGCTGTTCTGTCATAATTTAAAAAAATATTTTTTGCTGTTGCTAAAAGTGTTTCTACATTTCCCTTTTTAAAAAAAAAAAATCCAGATTTGTGGTATGTTTTAGTACCATCATACGGGACAAGGCCATCACGCTGTGGCCTAGGGTCTGCCTGTCCAAACTTGTCCTCATTCCTCAAGGTCAGTTAATTTTAGTTTTGTCATGGGTTACTCCTTACTACACTGTAAGCAAGTCTTGAGGATTGGGAAAGTAGATCAGTGTCATGAAGCTATTTAATATTGAACAGCTAAAGTCAATGGACTCTCTGTGACACTATTTCTTTGATTTTTTTTACTCAATCAAATTTTAATTAGAGATTATGTTAATGTTGTCATCTGATGTGTGCCAGAATAAATAAATTAAAGATTTATTGATAAGGTATTTTTTTTACCCAAGATATTTATTCAAAGACTTCCTCCTTATTTTTCTATGATCAGCTGTGCACATCAACATGTCCAGTTTCAATTTGATGATGTACCTGAGCGGCCGCCCAGAAGTCAGCTGTTTGACCTCCTCACACCAAAGACCTATTGTTTTTGTGTTTGTGGGAGGCATACGGCCTGTGAAAAACCCAGTGTACCTGGTGCCTACATTTCAAGGTAACACTTTACATGACAATATTTAGTGGTGCCCTCAGAGTTTAAAAAAAAAATCCATTTTCATGTCTCCAAAAATATGTAGTATGACAATGTAACACATAAACAAAACCTGCCAAGTGTTGCCAGTTTGTGCCCTTCTAAAATTCCCCTCCCATGGAACACTACTGAATTTTAAAAAACATTGCTTTATAGATATAAATTAATTAATATTACAATACACATTTTGCTTTGATGTTATTTTTTGGTGTTCTTTAAGCTTTGTGTAAGCAACCAAGTGTGAGGGTACCACTGAAATGATATTATTAATTAAAAAAAAAAAAGTCTACTGTATAAATTAAAAGAAATTTATGGTAAAAATTGCTTTAACTTAGGGATTCCTATAATAAAAGCATGAGCGTGTAAGTATTTTTTTTATAACATTTTATGTTCACACACAGCATCAAAACATAGCATTTTGATAAGTTTAAATTCTTTACTGTATTGATCAGAACTTTTAAATGAAGATGATCTAGTTTCTTTAAAGTCAGATTGTCATCAAATTTTGAGTTTTTACACTGAAAAAAAAAAGTGAGAAGGGGGGGGGGGAATTTTAAGGGAAAAGATTATTTTTTTTATAACATTTTATGTTCACACACAGCATCAAAACATAGCATTTTGATAAGTTTAAATTCTTTACTTTATTGATCAGAACTTTTAAATGAAGATGATCTAGTTTCTTTAAAGTCAGATTGTCATCAAATTTTGAGTTTTTACACTGAAAAAAAAAAGTGAGAAGGGGGGGGGGAATTTTAAGGGATAAGATTTACAGATCTCATCATACATGGATATGGCTGTGTAAGGCTTTTGTCAAACAAAAAGATAACGGTGGACATTATAGGTGGGTCACATTGTTTGTTGTAATATACATAATAGTTTTATTTAAACTATGTTTATTTAACCACGCAGTAACATTTTCATTGCAGATAATGATTTAGAAAAAATTTTTTTACACATTACTTGACAAAGGTCCTCAGCGTTAACATGCATTTTGTATTAAAAACATTGTTGCAAAACAATGAAACTTATTGCCATTGCAAAAATAATTTATTGATGAAAGTGGGGGTTAAATAAAAAAGGGTTTTATTCCAATTTTCCATATAAACCGCAAAGGCATGACGGATGGAAAGATATATAGAACTGTGAGTTACTGACAGGTTTGTTGTAGTCTAAAGAGCTAAATGTTGAAATCAATTAATATTTTTCAGATTGGCACGAAAGGGACAAGAGAGTTATACTTCTCATTGTGGGACCAAAGGTGAATAATGTTTAAAATTGACTGAGTCTCACGCCGAGACTCATCTTTGTGGCTAAAAATTGTAGACGTGTTGTACGACACACAACAGTGATTAGATTTAAGCCATTTCATATCTTCTACAACTTTGTTATGTTTCCCCTCTTTCCTTTTGGATATTTGAATAAACCACATGTCAACAGATGTGGCTAATGTTAGACTTTTATTTGTATTTTATCCCTTTGAAAAAAATTTCTCACTTTTTTTTTTTAATCATTCAAAAAATTCTAAGAATTCTAAGAAGAAAAGTAATATTTGTCTTTTCAGTTGGATGAAAATTATTGTTCTCGAGTATTTGAGCCTGCCATCAACAAGTAAGTCTCTTTTCACCTGATAAGTTTAGCAATAGAAGTAATGATGCATTTATTTGCAAGTCACTGTGTTGTTGAATTTAATAAAAAAATTGCTTATCCAGATTTTGTCTTAACTTTTTTTATCCAAATGTGTTTGCAGAATGAGAATCTCCCAAAACATTAACTTTGTCCAATTAAAATTAAAAAAAAACAAAAAACCATAGAATATTATATTTTTTTGCTTAACTATTTAACCGCACATCCTTGGTCTGAGCTTAAGTTGACTTTGGATAGGAACAGTATGAAGTAGAAATTCTGATCTCAGTGTATTTAACATTTGTTCTTTTATACAGGCGACCAGGAATCGTTTACATCCCTGGCTTGGCGATGGAAGATACGCACGCAATCATTGCACAGTCTTTTGCCTTGGTCAATACTTCAGACAGCGAAGGAATGTGTTTGGCTATCCTAGAGGTAGTTGATGCCTCTGATGTTTGTTTTTTTTGTGTGTTAATAACAGTTAGGATGTTTTTAACTACTGACGGATATTATTTTTTTTTTTACTGACATGTTTTTAATAATTGTAAAGCGCTTAGAGCTTTAAGGTAAGCGCTATATAAAAATGCCTAAATAAATAAATAAATATCATTTTTTTTTAATTTCTAGTAATTAAAGTGATAATTAAATTTTGGGGGAAGCAGTGATTTTATTTGACCCCATATCATTTCCATCAACAGACCGTCAACACCTCATAGCCACCCACCACAATTCCCCATACTACGTCTTAAATACCCCCACACCCAAACTAAGTCTTTTTAAAATTTTGTTTTGAGGCCTTTTTAACAAATGAGTTATGATTCAATTTTGCACATAAATATTGTTGAAATGCCTTTCCAAATGACTAGACTCCAGGAAAATTGTCATTCATTCCATAGTTCAACATTGTTAAATGCAACATGGAAATTTATTAAAATTATATTTTGCTTTCTTACTTTCTTACCTATGCCTTCACCCCGCCTGGGGCATAGGCCGTCTTCAAGAATTTTCCATTCATCTCCGTTGTGTGCTTTTCTTTCCAGTTTCTTCCAGGTGTATCCCATACTTTGTGTGTCTGTCTCTAGCTGGCATCTCCGTGAATTCTTTGGCATTCCTCTCCTCCTTTTTCCCTGTGGATTCTGTGTTCGGTATTGTCTGGTGATGCTATCTGGGGAATTTACGAAGAGTGTGCCCTATCCACCTCCATCTTTTCCTTATTACGTCTTCAACAATTGGCTCCTGGTATGTCCCATCTAGTAAGTCTTTGTTGGTGATGATGTTTGGCCATTTGAATATTTTACTGTACATAATTTAAATGGTGTAAAATTTTCCTTTAAGGCCATGCAGATTGGGGTTCCAGTGCTGGCTAGAAATATACCAGGCAACAAGGCAATTATCAAAGATGGCTGTACTGGTTTCTTGTTTGACTCACCGCAGGTAACTACTAACTGATAGAGCTGGCTTTAGTCTTAAAATTAATAGGGAGATAAAAAAATTTATACCAGTGGTTCCCAACCTGTGCTTCTCAGAGGCTTTGGGGCTGCTCAAAGGAAATAAAATAACACCATTAACTTGTAAGACAGCGATTCTCAACCTGTGGGTCGCGACCCTTTAACGGATCGCCTAAGACCATCGGAAAACACATTTATGAAGTAGCAACGAACATAATTTTATTGTTTGGGAACACCACAACATGAGGAACTGTATTAAAGGTTCGCCGCATTAGTAAGGTTGACAACCACTGTTGTAAGACATAGGGTGGGCTTAAGGGACCACCACATAGAAATCAATTCTTATTAAAACAATGTTTTTAAGAAACTTGTTCAAAAACACGCTTTTATTGAAATGCATTAAAAAGAACAAAACAATTTTGAGACACACCAGGATTTTCTTACAATGAATCATGTCTACAAAAATAAAAACTGAGGGGTGCCAAATATGGAAGAAAATGCAACAATAAAAAAACTCTCAACATTAAAGAGAGACTTTTGCTGATCACCTTTTAACTTTCACACAAAACGGCATTCCTATGCATTATCCCGTGCTCTACTGAGCCCTAATATAAGGGTTCTGTGTGCACTTCTCAGAAACTCGCGGCCACTCGGGGAAATAAAATTAAAGTAAGACCTAGAATAGGGCTAAGGCCCCCCCACCCCCATCATAGAAATTGATTCTAAAAAGGGCTCCAAGAGTCAAAAAGGTTGGGAACCAGGGTATTAAATTACATTTGGTTCTCATTTATTACAGAATAACTGCCTTTTCTTTACTTATCTTTTTACCTTTTTTTTTTTCATTGCCCCTCAGGGTTTCCTTAAAAAGGCTGAAAGCCTGACACAAAGTGTAGAGGCTTGCCAGATGATCACCAGAAATGCCAAAGACTACGTTAGTCAACAGCACAACTTAGAATCTGAGAGAAAAGCTTATGTGGGACTGTTGGAACACTGCATTCAGGGCATACTTGCAAATGCACCAGAGACACCGAAAGGGACGTCATCCATCAGTGAGCAGCTGGTGAATCAAGTCCCTGTCATGGCGGATGTCAATCATTGACGGCAGCTCTTTTTTAGAATACATTTTTATCTGTGTGATTAATTAGTTTATGTGAATACTGAATGTCTATAAATAGTAATTTATTTGCAAATCACTGATCTATCAATTTGAAAATATGCCATGAAATTTATATGTAAAATTGATAATGTAATTTTTAATACATTTTTACATTGATTTTTTTTTTTAATCATTCTTATTCCCATCCGAAAAATTGGTCTTATTTTTTTCTCTTTTTAAAAAGTTGTATCTTTTAAACTGCTTATTTATTAATGCTATGATGATGAATCTCAAATTTGCTTCTAAATATACACTGGCTTTATTTTTTAAAAGAAAACTACAGCACAAGTATAAAAATGTTGGTTGATTAAGCCCATTGTGAGCTTATTTTGTGCTTCTCCAAATAATTTTTTTCTAGTCAGCTTTCAGCATTATTTAAATCCAGAAGTTCTCAAACCTGAGATCTGGCAACTGCACAGTTGCCTTCATAACAGATCTAGAACATTTTTGTTTAATCTAAAAGTAATCTTTTTAAGGATGGACTAATTGACATTTGCTGATGGGGTTTATGATTGGGAAAGGTAGAGAACCACTGGTGTGCAGTGTTTCTTTATTTGTTCCAACTTTAGTTTTAAAATGTTGATGCTGTATTTGTTGTCATGAAACAACCAATCAAAACTCAAGTTAGTTCATTTGTTTATTTAATTGAGTGGAATCTCCTGCTGAGAAGTTTCATATTTACGAGAAAGACTTTATTTGTGCTGTGTCCTAAAAGCATTTCTACAGAGACAGTGTTAAATAGGTGTCTCCTAGTTATTTCTACAGAGACAGTTTCATATTTTTGACACCTAGTTATTTCTACACAGTTTCATATTTGTGACACCTATTTATTTCTACACTGACAGTGTCATATATGTGACACCTAGTTATTTCTACACTGACAGTGTCATATTTTTAACACCTAGCTATTTCTACACTGACAATGTCATACTTGTGACACCTAGTTATTTCTACGCAGACAGTGTCATATTTGTGACATCTAGTTATTTTTACACTGACAGTGTCATATTTTTAACACCTAGCTATTTCTAAAATGACAGTGTCATACTTGTGACACCTAGTTATTTCTACGCAGACAGTGTCATATTTGTGACATCTAGCGATTTTACACAGATAGTGTCATATTTGTGACACATAGTTATTTCTAAACAGACAGTGTCAGATTTTTTAACATCTCGCTATTTCTACACTGACAGATGATTCCAGAAATTAAATACATTAACGGTTTTGCCGCACCCAGTAAGAAGGTCGTTTTTATGATTTGAACATTTTTGCATTCTCATCCTTACCACTTAATTATTTTCATGTTTAACAAACTATTAGAATTTTTTTTTTTTTTCATATTTAACTCTTAAGAACTAGAATAAGGGGAGACAAGTCTGAAATAAAGCCTTCTGGACCAACTGATTTTATGTTACGTTTACAGCTGACAAGGATTGCCATTTCACACCATTATACAAGTGTGGGCAGGGGTTATGTTGCTTTGTCAGGTAATTAACTTCAAAACATTTTTTTGACTGTTTGGATGTTAACTAGAATTTTTACTTGTTTCAATTTTTAAAAAAAATTGTACTTGTTATTTTGTTATTGCTGAGTCTGCTTTGAACGACACTGCACATTCATGATGTCTTTATTATAAAACAAACAAACCTAGGATGTTACCACATTTGCGTTGAGAAATCGCTACTCTTATTTGAATATGCTTTACATAGAGGGAATTATAGGTTGTTTTGTAATTATCACAAGCCACCTTTTACTATGACTTGGAGGGAAATTTTAAAAAAAAGTGATGGTTTGGGGAGAGAGCGGGGATGGGGGGGGGATTTATGTAACACTGAATCAAATTTTACTGAGCTTGAGTTTCATCACTTCAACCATTTTTGGAGAAATGAAGTGCATTTTTAAAGTGTTTTTTTTAGTTGCTATGGACATTAGATGCACTCTTGTTTTGTTACACTTTTGCTTTGCTACTACAGACATTTGATGCACTCTTGCTTTGCTACTACATACATTTGATGCACTCTTGTTTTGTTACTACCGACATTTGATGCACTCTTGTTTTGTTACTACCGACATTTGATGCACTCTTGTTTTGTTACTACCGACATTTGATGCACTCTTGTTTTGTTACTACCGACATTTGATGCACTCTTGTTTTGTTACTACCGACATTTGATGCACTCTTGTTTTGTTACTACCGACATTTGATGCACTCTTGTTTTGTTACTACCGACATTTGATGCACTCTTGTTTTGTTATTAGCTTTACGGACATTTGATGCACTCTTTTTTTATTGTTAAAAAATTCTTTGAGCTGTGTAATCACACAAAAAAATTTAGAAATGAATTTTTTTAAAAAAAGGAAGGAAAGAATAGCTTCTGTATCAACTTTGTCTTTCAAGCAAAATTAGAAATTAAAAAAAACAAAACTATTTAATGCATGTAAAGTTAGTAGCGGAATGCAGACATTTAATTTTGAATGTGAATAAATCTTAAAACTACTTTACCAACCATGATCTCTTTCTTTCTTCATTCGAGCAATATTCCTACCCATTTGAATATCAATTTATTTATTTCTTGTACTTTAATTTCTTAAAATAGCTTGAGGTGGGTTTTGTTCAAGATGTTAAACGACCACATTGAAAACATTGAAAGAGTTGAGCATTTCCTATTCTGGATTTCATATCGTTCTTTTTATAGAATTTATAGTTTTAGAATCAAGCAGTGGGCTTTCAACATTTAGTCATTTATGTAAAATCGCAACAGTTACGGACCGTGGGTTAGGGGTGATCACTGCCTTAGAGAGTAGACAGAAGAAATATCAATTGTAATAAATGACAGCCCTGACCTTGAATTTCAACACTATTTATGTAGTCTACAAGATAATAACTGATGGACTGCATTCAAGTTGTGAAATGAAATATAAGAACAAGGTATGTTAAACTTGAATTCATTGACAGGACAAAAGATTTTGACGTTCCGGCTAAGAGCCTTATCAGAAAACAAGACAAAAAGAAGAATAACGAGTATAATTTGTATGTAGTCTACACCAGCTTTTCCCAAACTTTTAAGCTTGCCGGGGCCATTGGATAAGTTTGGAAATTGCACTATGGACTGATGTCAGATTTATTAGTAGTGATATTTCTGTTAATTTGACCATAAATATTCATGTTGTGCGGACCGTAAGGCTTGTGGGCCAGTGCCGTTCCACAGTCCAGCATTTGGGGTTACCTTGATCTAGACCATAAAATTATTTTGTTTAAAACTGAAGAAGCTAATTATACTTGTATTCATGTAAATAGAGTTCCCCCAAATGTGGAGTCTATGAACCAATCAAAGGTTTAGAAATATACCGTTAAAATATTTTCTTTTTTTTTTGTAAACCTATAGCCTTGTTATCACTTAGTTGGGAGAGACAGGGACCACAGCTGTAAATAAACTTGCTTGCAATTATTCACTCACAGTCAATGAATGTTTCTTTGGGTTAAAATATGGAATTGTAATTACCTCATCCGAAGTTGTGAACCATTTGATAGCCTAAATTAATTTACTTTATCTTTTCATTTTTTTAAAAATTCAGAATATAGAATAATTTACATGTTCTTATAGGTAAAGGCTTTTTGTTTTATATAACTATTTATTAAGTCTTTTTTTTTTTTTAATTGGTTTTTTCGTATAAATATTCTCTTGTAATACTTGTATCAGTACTCATAATTGTATATGCCACCAGCTGTGTACAGGAGGTCCTCATTTTATCGCGGGTTCCGTGTTTCAACTGTGACGTAACTTGAAATTCGCTGAAATTTGCAAAGCACACTACCAACATGTAAACTACATGTACATACTTGTATGTGGTAAAATACATATATATGCATTTACATACATCAAAATTAAGATATTAAAACATATTAAATTATAAATTGCAGCATTTCTTTTTCCTTATAAAGTGCAGTTGTAGTTTATTTACATATGTACAGTCTTTAGATTGTTGTGATTGAAGTATTACATGTTTCCAATCCTTAATTTAATTCTATTTACCTACAGCTACTCAGTGTGAAGTGTTTCCAAAACTAGAGAATGATGGAATGTGTTATTTTATGAAGTGGTATTTTGTTTAAGGACACATATATTTTTATTTATACATATCTGTGGCAATTTGTATACCAAAAAATTTTAATATATACATACATGAATGTAACAGTAGTATGTATATGTAAAGTGAATATTTTCTATACTTACAACTTTCTGGATCAACAGGGCTTGACTGATGAAGTAGTACATGCTCGTGGCCCGCTGAAAAAAGAACTGGCAAATTTAATTAATTATTTTTTGGGAATGACTGACAGAAAATTGAGTCTGTCGTAAAATTTGGACCTCCTGTATTGCTGTTGCTATTTGATTTTTTGATTGACATATTTAATATGCATATATTTAAATGCATATATCATAACTTTAAATATTTTCCACGCAGAGGGTCTCAAATGCACAATATCAAAGGTTTAAAAAAAAATTAACTACATTGATGTATTGATCACATTTCTAATTTTATTTCTATACATAAATTATCTCATTGTATGGGCAATGCTCTTACAAAGACAGATTTTTTCCCCCCATATTGCTTTGTCAAGACTTAATGTATCTTGGTAATGTGAACTTGTGTTTTTTTGTCTTCTCAAAATATTTCCACTTATTAATGTAAAATTGTAAAGACGTTTATGATACAGAACTTGATTTGGACTCCCCTTTGTGAACTTATGACACCTGAATGGAGCTCCCCTTGTTGTAGTTATAGCTATAGGCTATAGCACTGGGCTGATAGGACTTTGCTGTAATCGAATTAGTCCACTGCAAGATAAGAACCAAAAAAATTAAGTAAGTTAGGCACAGGACACAAACTTCAAAGGCATTCCTTGTTTTGCTAGAAACATGAATGCAAGCTAAACTGTTGGATTTCAAACAAAAAAAATGATGTAATTGGAAAATTTTCACAGCGGAACTCCTGTTACTCAACACACATGAAGGATTTACTCTAAAGATTAAGCGGTCCGATAAGCCCAAATTGTTTGTCATTAGGCACACACAGGTCACACATTAACAGGAATAGGAAACTCAAGAACGAAGTCAACATGATAAATTACATTGTATATCACAAATAATTTTATTACACAAATTTTCTAAATATATAATATAGCAGCTTTTGATTCGGTTATTCCCCTTGGTTTGATTCAATTGTTCCCCTTGGTTTTGATTGAAGTCCACCCGTTCATTTTTGCCGTTGCTTGTTGTCCCCCTTGCTGACGGAATTCCTCGCTGTCCTGATTGAGTTTTTCTTGTACCTGTCTCGCTTGCTGCCCTTTGTGCCGGGCCTCGACATGTTGTTGAGTTTGACTGAAACGAGACACGTGATTCAAAAAAGGGGGCTACACTATTGATTCGATAGGGTTGATAGCGAGGCTACCTACGCCAAGGTGTTTGATGACAATGATACAATAACATGTTTACTTGGTATTACATAGGCTTTCTTTTTATTGATTGGCCCTATCTCATTTTTTGAGTATGTCACCAGTGTTGTACGCAGGGCAGTGCAAATAAAAAAAAAAGGGTTGGGGGGGGGGAGGGAAGCACCATTGGCCAATCCAGCATTGGGGAAAAAAATAGCGCAACCTCCCCCCCCCCC